TAGAGAATTAGAGATGGATCCAGCTGAAAACGAGCTTGCTTGACTTCACCTTACTTCCAGTCTTACTATTTGTTGCAATGAAAAAAAAAGTATGAAATCGGGACCTAAAGTTGGAACTATATTCTTGTTAATGTTGTATTGTCCCAGATTAGGCCAACTAGCCAAAAGCTATATAAATTGCTAACCTGTATCATTTATAATGTGATACTATGCTGAAAATGCACAACTAAAATAGCACAGTCTTCTTTTTTCAGTTTTCATTGCAGTAAGGTAGGAGAAGGTAGCAGTCCAAGGTTCCAGGGTGCTTCATAGTTACGCACAAGTCTGGGACATTGTAGTCATCTGTGCCTTTTTTCACTGATGTGGGACATTAATATATCCAAAGAGAACTTGATACTAAATGATCCTTTCAGCAATAGTGTTGCTATAGGGAAAGCCACTATAAAGTGCAAAAAGCTATGAATTTTTGCAATAGAACAGAGGAGCGTATTCATGTAATAGTGTATTCTGGCACATATGGTACCTGCTGGATATAGGCAAAGTTATAACAGTGCCGAGCAGTAAGATTCCTATCACTTAAATAAGCCTCAGTAGGATTAACAGTTTAGGTGTTCTTCTACCTGTCTCAGCTGTGGGAGTCAATCTTTTGGCAGCCTTCAGTTTACTTAGGAAGTCAGTGATTAGGGCACAGAAAGAGGAAGATGGGTAAAATTAAGTATTAATTGAGGCTTGCAAGCGTGCATGTAAATGACTTTACTCTCAGGTTCTACTTGGGACAAGGGATTTCAGTAAATAGCCAGGTGCCCAAGCTAAATTGCTGATTTAGTGATTAATTGCTAGTCGCTGATTGCCAGCCAATTTCAACCAATTTAAAGGACAGCTAGAAATACCAAAACTACCACATTTCTGTACATTTCTTAGAACTGTAGCATCCTTCAGGTTGGATGAGATGCCTGCAGGTTTCTTGTTCAATCTCTTGCTCCGAGTTAACTGTGAATTCAAGACGGGTTGCTCAGGGCTTTGTGCAGTGAGACCTTAAAGACCTCCAAGGCCAGGGATGCTCCACAGCCTCAGTGGGCACCCCATTTCCGAGCTTAATTATCCTCATAGTTTTCTGTCATTTGCAAACCTGATTAGAAGATATGCCATTTCATCCTAAGGGTCAGTGGTAAAGATATTAACAGGATGGGTGTCAGGATAAACCTCTGAGAAGCTCTGATTGCAACAAGCCTCCAAGGAGAGTATAAACCATTAACCACTACTTTTCAAGCCCAAAATCCTAGCATTTTTTTCTCCTCTAGTAGTCCACCTACAGAGACCACAATAGCTAGCTTGGATATAAGGATGGTGGGAAAGAGCCTGTTGAGAACCTAACTAAAGCCAAGGTGCTCTCCCTTCATCCACAAATTTAGTCATTCCATCATCGATGGCAGTCAGGCTGGTCAGGCATGATGCTTCTAAGCCCAAGATAGAGAAGCTTATTTTTGGATTTACCCTTGGAGTTATCAAAAGCAAATCCAGAAGCAGCAGCTTCTCAGTCTTCTGCTCCGTAGAAGACGGCCATAGGTTTGACCTGCTCTTCCATTCATAGAGGTTACAGGTAGAAGAGAGAAATCTGAACTGGGGTGCTCTCGATAAAAATAAATGAATATTAAATGATAATAAAAAGCCGTGTGGATGTAAGAATTACCTGTTGTGTTTGGCCAGCTGGCCAAGCTTCCCGTGCCTCGTGTCAGGCCGCTCAGCACACACCTTGTGGAGCCGGCCACGGCATCGTGCAGCCTGAGGGTTATGGAAAGGAAAGGGAGGGCTGTGGGGGCTTAAGGAAACATATTAGTAGGTACACTGCTCATTTCCAAAATGGGCATAATGGGTTATAGCTATGGATATAAAGTAGTAAAGCAAGAATTCAGGCCTCCTTCTTGCCCAAAATAATGTAAGGAACTGATCAAGGGGGGTGTTCCATTCCGCTAGACTAAAAATACATACTTTGTTTTTATGTGTTTTTCATTTATAATGTCTGTAAGTAGTATTTGTAAACAATGTTTTTTGAGGGTGAGATTTTCAGACAAGAAACTGGGAAGAAAGAGAGAAATCTGTTCATAACTTACCCTCTTGTGCCCAGATATTTTAACATCTGGAATGTTATGCTGCCTCTTGTAATACCTCTGCAATACTGTAACACAGCAGGATGCATTAATGAGAGTTTCAACCTTAAACCCACAACATCAATGAAATTTATAGTTGTCAGGCCGTTAACATTATTCAAACATAGTTTTTGTGGTTTCAATTCCCATTTTATGTTCGCGTAGGAAGAAAAGTCATTGTGTTGACTAGCCGTGGAGACAGATTCCTCCTTGGACTTGAAATGTCTATAAACCAATTAAGCATTGTTTATTACTCTTGACAGCATTCATAGAGTGCATTACTTTTTTTATATATATATTTGTATAAAAAGTAGTGCTAGAAAATCTCTCTCTTAATATTTCAACTGCTTTTAGTGCTTCTTGAGCACTGAAAGTGCCTTTCTCACGTTTTGGAAAATACCACAAAAATGTTCAAAGCAGGGAAAAATGTATATAAAATCCAAGTATCTTTTTTTGAATCCTAAATGCTGTCTAATATCCCACCTAATGAGAAAATTTGTTTTCATTTGTTTCATGCTTTTCTGCTCTTGCATCTCAGTGTGGTCTTGTGGTGCTTAACTTGTAGAGCAAGATGGTTGAAGAACATAGAAAAGAATGGTGAATTTCTTATAGGCAAAGATTTAAGAAAAATTGTGGTGAACATGGTGATTAAGTCACTCTGTAGTAAACTAAAATAGTTAAATCTGCAATTGATTAAGTTAAAAGGAATGAAGGGAAGTCAATAAGTAAAAAAGCACACGTACGGTTGTTCTTTCTGGTAAGGAAAATACAATTTGTTTCTTCTAGAAACAAACAATGCCACAACATTTACAACGTTCAGAAGTTGGGTTTTCTTATTATCTTAGGCTTTGTGGTGATTCCAGAGCAATCTCAGGAAGCAGTAAAAAGAAATCTATCTGTCTCTTGATGTATCAAGCTGGGTATTAGCAGCTTCCCCATGTTGTGTCCGTCTTCAAGAAATTCTCTGTGGCTCTTAAAAGTGCAAACCCTGTCTCTGTGTTCAATATGTTACTCGCTGCTGCCAAGCCTCTAATAGCTGCAGGCATGTGCTGTGTTAAACATCTCTCTTTGTTCTGGAAGCCCCTCTTTTGGTTTTCTAACAATTTTTTTTCCTGCTCTCATTATTTTTCTCCTGTCATTGCAGCGCAGGACATTTCTTTTGGTTTGTTTTGGTTTGTATTTTTGCCTATTTAACAACAAATATGAATGGAGAAGCAATGGATATCCATGTATTTTGACAGCGCCTCTCTTATTGTGCTTCCAAAGTTAAATTAGATTTCCATGTTGCAGTCCCACGAGTGCGGTGCCGAAGCCGAAGTCTCGCTGTTCCCAGCAGACAGTGTTGAGGCCACATGGGCACAGCAAACTAGTTGGGATTTTCTGCCGGGTCCCAGCATAAGTGGAGGTGTACTTCCAGTGTTAAAGGCTGGTGGTAAATGATCCTAGTCCCAGGCAGCAATTCACGGGGTCCACAGGGAAGACTTACTGAGCTGCATTGCATGTGAAATGGGAGGGGACTGGCAAAGGGATCTTCTGGCTCTCGCTCTTTGAAAATGCCTCATGCCGATTCCTTAATAATGTGGGAAAACATCTGCTGGGCTTTTCCTAGGCATGGGCTGCTGCGATTTGTAGCAGCCAAGGTTCCCATATTTGTCATCAGTGAAGGCGGATCAGTGAAGGCTCCTGTCTTCGGTCGGGCCCTGCCAACGGAGCGGCTCTGCCATCAGGACGGTTTCCGAGGCCTTGGGGCATCCTCCTCGCGCCTCGCTCCTCTGCTGGCCCCGGCAGCAGCCCCTTCCCATCCCCGAGGCCGCGCAGAGCAGCAGCCCCTTCCCTTCCTGCCCACCGAGGTGTCCGTGTGCCCTCCCGGCAGCCGCTCCGGGGCCCGGCAGAGCTCCCGCCGGCTCTGGGAGCGGGATGAAGTCGATATGAGCGATACCCGCGGATCGGGATAGCGCTTATCGCCCGGACAAGGCCTCTTTTATGGGAATGAACAGCGCTGCGTTTGTGCCCGTGTTGCGCGTGGCGGTTGGGCCTATAAATCACTTCACGGGTTTACCTGCCGGCGACGTGCTGAATATCTGTTTTATCTATTGCTAAATTACTCTGTGCAAACATGCAAGGTGAAGAGGGATCTTGGTACAGTTCAGATCGGCGTTGAAGTGGCGTGAACCAAGTTCTCACCGTAGCAGTATTATTTTTTTTTCAGTTTAGCATTGACTCATTTGATGGTGTTAAAGTGCACTTTCTACTTATCCCCAGAGGAAAGTTAGTATTCTTTTAAGTGAAACTATTTTAAAAGCAGAACACAAACCTAAAATAAGCCAGTGTTCTCTAGAGTTCTCAGAAGGTGTAGATTTATTTACTGTAGTTAAATCATAATTAGTTCTCAGGGGATAGTGTATCTTTTAAACTGCTTTACTGCCACCATATTGGTTTTCCAAATAATCAGAAACTGATGCTGTTATGTTCTGTACTACAGGCAAAAATTTGCTCTAAGTAGAAACAAATGTCTAGAATTGCTAGTTGTCACTTACTGAAGATAGTGACATACAAAAAATAAGCACTTCAAGAAACGTGAAGAAATACAAAACGTATGTTTTCAGAAGGTACCTTAAATGAACTACAGTTGTAACTTTTTCCAGCATAACAGATAGAGTAAACTTTTCCTTAATAACTTTTCAGTTAATCTTTTTTCTTTAATACTTGAATGCTTTTTCATCAAGAATAAACATTAACTGTTAATGGATAAATGGTAATATCATGTTATGTAAGATATTACCTTACGTTTAAATATAGATTTTTATGAATGTTCCACCTGATAAACTCTTTTTTCTTTCTTCCAACTGGCAGGTTAATGTACAAGTTGCCTGAGGAGATGGGTTTAATAGCAATTGCTGTTAGACAAACACAAGGGAAAGGTCAGTATGTTTCCTTCCTAATAAATGCATCTTAAATGCATGGAATAGGGCATTTTAGCATTGTATACCCATGTTAGAGATATATTATGCTTGTTTTCAGTGTAAGCTATTGGGTAGTATTGGCCTCTTCCCCCACTTAAACTATGGAATCAAACTTGAAACCTAAGTGATTGGAGAATGTAAGCTATTGGGTAGTATCGGCCTCTTCCCCCACTTAAACTATGGGTTTAGGTTTCAAACTTGAAACCTAAGTGATTGGAGACCAAAGTAAGCATTTTTAGGATGTTAGGTGGCTTTTGCAGAGATGATGTAGCAGGCTTCCAGTTTCTGCCAGAAAGTCTCTGCAGTCATGGAAGCTGCCATCCCTACACTTGGTGTAATACAAGTTGGACCTCCCAACCAAAATTTGCTGGCTTAACTGGAACAAGATTTGCTCTGAGCTAGAGGTTGTTTGCATCTACTGCACTGTGAAAACCTATCGTTTGGGTTTTTACAGTCTTTTGCAGATAAATAAAAGCAGTTTCTGCCTGATGTCCAGGGAGATGCTAGCTCAGATTTGAAAGCTGTGCCAATTTTAATATTAGCCTGAACTTGTAGCTCACCTGAGCATAGCTCTGCATGAAAATGCTTGGCTGGCTTTGGGCTCAAATCTAGTTTGTGTCCTGTTGAGTCACAGTGTGGATGGATTTGTAGATACGCACAGAGTATCTTTACAAAGATAATCTTTAAATACACTTTGCACTTTAAAACACTTCAAATTTTTGGAAGCATATATGTTACAGAGTACCAGGAAAATCCCAGAAGAAAGTCATTTGTGCCGTTTTGAGAAAATTAGTAGCAGGATGCATATTAACTACTAGCTGTTTTTAAAAAGGGAAAGGTTTGCACTTTAACATTTTTTTCTTTAAAAATTAGTTTGAAAACTCCTTTACAGGACTTCCTGCAAATTCTCGGATACCACTGAATCTTTTGCTTTTGTTATTGTCTCTGTTAGTGTTAAGGTAAGAATGTATATATATATTTGTTTTCTTCTGTTGGAGTTAAATTTTTCCTCCCTCCACAGGTCGTGGTGGAAACGTTTGGCTCAGTCCCGTGGGCTGTGCACTGTCCACTTTACACATGACCATTCCTCTCTATTCCAACCTGGGCCAGAGAATCCCTTTCATTCAGCATCTAGTGTCCTTGGCAGTGGTGGAAGCAGTTAGATCAATACCAGGATACGAGGTATCTCATTTTAATTTATGTCAGTATTCCTATTTCTGTTTCCACTAAATGTAGATTTTGACCGGTATGTTGGATGCCCAAATGTATAATGTAGTTCCTCAGTGCTAATGCAGTGGGAAACTGTAAATGGTAAATTCAACCTTCATAATTGTTCATGTATATTAAGAGAACTAGCTACATATGGTGAATACTGCATCCTCTCGAGCAGGTTAAGAATACTACACTCATTTCACTCATAATCTGATGAAATTTAAGATTCCGTCTTCAGCAGTAAAGACAGTTCAATTCTGGTTTGTCTAACAATTTAGTTAATTTGTTTTGATTTTTGAAAGAGCTGAGGAAAAGGGAGGAGTGGAAATGAATAAACCTGACAAATCCTTTTCTGTTGCTTATTTATTTATTTATTTATTATTTCTTGGTGGTGCTGTTTCAGTGGTCACTTTATCCCTTTTAAAGAATTTTTCCAACCCTTGTTTAAGGTTGAAAACGGATTTCTAAAGCAAGAAGTTAGGAGTATTGCTCTCAAGGGGGAATCAAGTGTCCTGTCATCAGTATTAAAATGAAGAACCAGTCTTCTTCTTCACCTCATATATCTCCTTTTTAATGTTACCATTTCCTAATATTTGCTAACTATAAAACTTTGGTATTTTACAGAAGTAGTTAACTAAAGCATATGTTTCCTATATTACACAAAATCAATGACTTATACACATTTACACATGAACTTTATTATAGTGGCACCCAGTAGCTTTGCTGTAGTTTAGGGTCTGTCAGCCTTTCTATTAAAACCTTCTAACTTCAGTTCTTCATGACTTGACTATAAAAACAAAATGCTTCAGGCTAAAATTTGCAATATAAAATATTTGGCTAGGGGTGAATAATTTAACTATTTAGAAGAGAAGGGACAGAGGACTTAGTTGTATAAAATATCAGAGTTTGACTGAGGGAAGGAGTTAATTTGTGAATTGAGGTGTTTTTGCCTCTGTGAGCCTACCCTAGTGTACTGTGGCATTTTTATTTTATTCCATTCAAGAGGAACAATGTCACTGACATATTAAATATTAATATAGAAACAGTATGGATCAGTAATACACATCACAGGATCTACCAATCTTATTCTGATACTTGCTGTTTTTCTGGTACTGTAGTTTGTTATGCCCAAGGCAAAGCTATCTGTTTTACAATAGAGAATCACACATGAAAAATTCTTTTAGCAATTGCCCCGGAAGATATTTGGAAGGACTGAATTCTGCTGTTAGTCATCACAAAGGTAACCAAAACCGATGGTTATTACAGTTATTGATAATTTTTCCATCATCCTAGGCTTGGAAGGACAAAGGGCTTTTGTGGCGTTGTTGAGAAGTCTTTTCTCTTTTCTTTTTTCTGCGGTAAGAAAGGAAACCAAACTCTAGAGAAGGTCTAAAACAATGTTCAGATCTGGATCCAAGTTATGTTAGAGCAAGGAAATACAAAGGTTTGTGAGAAGCTCAACGCTTACGTCTCCACTTTGCGCGTGGACAGTGCAGGGCTTTTCTTTACGTGAGACGGACACGCGCGGCCAGCAAGCTGCAGTGGCTGGAAGTGGCTGAGACAGAGCCGAGCTTTCCTTCTTTGCTCCGGATTTCCATACCTCTGTGGGCGTAGGTCAGAACCTTAATATTACTTTAACATACTTTAATGCAGTTTGTTATGCTCCAAGTCCATTTCGGGGTTTCTGTACGGAGGTATCAGATGCTGTGTCTCCATTCACCAGCCAGGCGTCATCGGTAAGACTGTGTCTGAAGGGCCAGCAGGTGAGGCCCTGCACAGCTCTGCATGCTCAGAGAGAAAATCAGATAGCTCAATCAATAGCAAGCTTTCTTTGCAGATGTTAGTGCTATGAATGCAAGTGGGCCTTATATCTGCTTTCCCGTTCTGAGAGCAGGTAAAATCTCTCTCTAGCGAGTGAAAATAAGAACGTGCTCCGTTCTTTTGGAGCTTTTGATTTTTAATTGTCCAGTGGATTTTGTAACCTTCTCATAATTTCTTTGCTGCACTGATAGTTGTGCAAGACTTTATCTTGTTGCTCTGTTTTGTGGCAAATAGCTTGGGTCACCACCGTGAAGACTATGGCATGAAAATACCTGACTGACTGGTTGGTTCTCTGTCTTGCCAGTCGCTTCACTTGCAGCTCCAAGTGTGTGGTGTCTTACAGGTGTATGTTTTTCCTTAAATACGGTCTATGTGAATGCATAGTGATTAATTTGCGGGGAGAATAGCGACCTCTCCCCTGGGTGCCTTCAGAGGATCTCTTAACACTGATAATGCCGTTTAACTGTGGGATACTTTGCCTGTCTCAAGAGTCCTCTGCAAATGCTTTTGCAGTGTGAGGAGTCAAGTTGTTTTCCGTAATGAATATGAATTGGTCATAGTCGCTTAGAGCCCTTTGATAGCAAAATCAGTTAGTGTTTCCTGTCACTGGATGTATAATGGACTCCTCTCTGGCCTTTAAATCTGTCAGGAAAGTAGCCATGGACCCAGGTGCAGTTTTCACACATCCTGTAAAGGGATTTCATAATCTACAATAGGAGGGAATGCGACTCTTGTAGTCCTGGAGCACCTCCCGTAATTTGCCTCTTGGGATACAGTCAGATGCAGTTTTTCAAGCTCCAGGAAGCACATTTGCTTTCTTTTTGTGTTTAAGTAGCTGGTGCAAAGTTCAGTTCAGTTCTGTGGTTTCAACAAAAACCTCTCTATTGCACTGGAATGGTGTCATACAGCACAGTTTGTGTTTCCAGCTCCGCGGTGTTGCTTGAGCGTAGCTGCCGAGAGCGTGAATATTTTTAGGACGTTTGTGGAGTATTTGCATAGTTGTGAACTGGAATTTCTCCTGTCTGCTGAATTTCCTTTCTGAAATTCAAGATGTCATTGTCCCCGGGTCTGGTTCCTGCCAGGGTCCTCGCACGCGGCCAGGGTGTTGTTGTGGATGCAGACTGGTGGTTTATTAGATCCGTAGGTGCTGCCACAGTTTGCATCTTTCCTGACTAAACCTTTGCCAGTCCTTAGTGGGTGCTCATGAATGAATTAAATGAATTCTTTAAAATCTTACGGTTTGCAGATGGAAAGTCTCTAATAAATATCACTAGTCCCTTCTTTGGATTCTCTAAGCTATGATTATCTACAATAATTGTATTTTTTCACTAGACACTCACCTTCTTCCAACGGCTGCCAGCTCCATAGTAAACCATGTACCATGATTTGATCAGTAATGCCTTGGGAACACACACATAGGTTCTTATTATGAACAGCTGGCTGTATCACGTTTGTGGTGGTACAGGAGGTACAGAAAATGCAGAAAACAAAGTGAGGAGTAAGTTGTGTTTTTATAGGCAATACCTGAGAGCAGAGTGTTTCTAAATGTCTGTGTTCTTGTCTTTTTAGGGTATTGAACTGCGAGTGAAATGGCCCAATGATATTTACTACAGCGATCTCATGAAGCTCGGTGGAGTGCTGGTGAACTCTACGCTTATTGAAACAACGTTTCATATACTTATTGGTAAATGTCTATTTTCAAGCTTTTTTATATTGCTTTTTCTAAAGACATTTGTCATTAATGTCTTTATGAGTTCAAATGATAAGGACAAGAACAAAAAATGACAGAAGCCTGAGAAAATAAAGTGTAACATTAAATTAAAAGATAGCACAAACAGTATTTGCCTTAATTCCTCATAATAATTCCATATGCTTGGCAAAGAAACCTAAATGCAAGCATCTGAGTTGGTGTAATGAGCTTCACATAAAAAGCAGTGCGTGCATGTTACTGATGTTTTCATTCCTCCTTTTTTAATTTTTTCATAACTTTTTTCTGCTGATACCTTTCCAAAAATTGGACTATTGCTAGTTAAACAGTGAAGTAGCAGTGAACTGATTTGATTACTTAGTCACTCTCTTTTTAGTTCTTGGGAAAAAAAAAAAAGTAAAATTTGCCAAGTCCTTGGGAAGGCTGGGAGAGAAGGGAAGGATGATCTGCTGGTTGATTTATTTGGATTGTTTTGAGGATGAAGAAAGACTAAGAAAGACTGTCTCAGAAAGACTGTGCAAACATTTTCCAGCTGGTCCCAGTGCTAAAACAGGGAAAGATTTCTGAGCACACAATAAGTATTGACATGTTCCTATCATCGGTCTGCCTTTTTCAGGTCTGATAAGCAGACTGCAAATGGATAAGGAATATTTTTCCCTTACCCAGCAGCAGGCAGAGATCTGCCCCCATCCTCAGAAACTGCCACAGGAAGCTCCAGCTCCTGGGGCCCTCAAGTAATTATCTGTGTTATATCTAAAAAAATGAAAACTTCTTGCCAAGTCCAGAGGGTTAAACAAGAAACTGATAGTACTTGTCTTGCACCTGACCATAGCTCAGAATTAAGAAGAGTATTTTGCACAGTGGGTGTGGACGAGATATGGTTTCTATCAAGATGGTCTAAATTTTAAGGCAAGCAAAACAGGTGATGTAGCCATCACCTTCTGCTGTGAAACATGCTCAGACATTGAATGCTCTGTTTAATTGTTATGTGCCCGTTTTTAAAATAATCTATGAGCGCAGCATGGAAACTGCAGAGACACTTAGGGTCTCTCTGTGCACTTTTGGGTATTTACTGATTCCATGTGTTTTTTTCTGGAGCTTATATTTCAACTTGACGTTATCACAGGGTAACACAAGAAAAGCAAAAATGGCTCAGAAAACAGCTCACCTTATCAAAAATCTATCTGCATGTTTTATCTTGGTTTTGAACCTAGGGCTGTATAGCGTAAACACCAAAATTTTGAAATTTTGTGGATTTAAGTGGATACTTACTCTTTGTAGTCTCTCTGATGTCCATAGGAGTCATCTTGGGGAGGTTAGGCCTGAGGTGTGCACAACGACATACGTTTTCAGCAACGCACTTGCTGCTGGTAGCTTCTAAGAGTGAGAGCTGTTTGTCACATACGAGTCTAAGGATCTTTTCCATCATTTCAGTGATGGTGTTGACCATGGTAGTGGGTGATTTGTGACATCCAGCAGTTCTTGTATGAGTCGTAGCAATGAGATCAAACTTCCGTAACTGGAAAAATGAGCCAAATGCACCGTCCACTCTCTACAGTCGTGCAGATTCCTTTCCTCGACGTGCTGGTGCTGAGCACTCAGAAAGGTTGGTGTAGGTGTGAGGGTACAAAGTCAGGGCCATCTACAGAACCACATTGCCAGGAGAAGCCCCTCAGGAGAATAGAGACAAAGTGCAGGCTTTGCAGGAGATGCAGCTTAGGTAGTGAGGGGTTGTGCAGAGCGTCTGCTCGTGCCTTGCCTTCTTGTGGAAGACACATCCCTGCAGATGTGAAACGTCCCTTCGAGCTGCACCGGGCGAAGGCTGCAGCAGCCTCGAGCTGGAGAGCGCGCGGGTCCTCCCCTGCGCTCCACGTCGCAGCGTCACGAGCACCCTCGTCCTCGTCCTTTCTGCACTCGTCTGTGTCTCGGGGTGAGCGGCAGCGCTGTGACCCGTTAGCTTGGCACTTTTTTGGTGGCGCAGCAGCTTCCTCCGCACACATTCTCTGATGAGTTAAAAAGGAGAAACTCCTTTTCAGGATTCCTTTTCTCTCTCCTTTCAGAAGAAAACCTTCTCATGATTAGTATGAATTAATTCTGTATGTGCACAGTCGCATTAATAGCAAATTTACAAAGCAATCCATGTGGACATTCCCTCAGAAGAAGGTGTATTATGTCTGAGCCTGATTGACAGGACTAGTGTTTTGTCCCAAGTGTCTGAGGACATTAGGAAGAATAAACAAACAGGTAATACAATATATTTCTTTACATCCCTCGAAGCCTGTTTCAGCATACTGCAAAAAAGGCCCCAAGAGACATATTTAAATAAGAAAGGCATTTGGCCAACATTATTCAGGCTGGAGAAATCTCAGTGAGAGACTTGAGGCTTCTAAAGGATACACTGTGGTAAGTTAGATTAAGCAAACTGGAGTCTTACCCCACAAACTTAAATCTTCTGGGCTTTTCAGAGCAAGGCAAACAAGGCTTGTCAGCCGAGCAAAAAGGCTTAGTTTCAGAAAACAAAAGCAGCTAGCCATAGTAAACAGAAAAGACCCTTGACTAAGTTTTAATTGGAAAGATAAAAATCCATCTCAGAATATGATCAGTGATTTGCTCTCAAACAGCTAAATACCTATCAGCAAATTAAAAGGTTTCCAGTTTCGATGTTGCCAACCAACGGGTACCCAGCGTGCCAGTCACCAGCCGCCTTCCAAACCTCCCTGCCAGGGTGGTGGTTTGTTGGAAGGACTGCATTGGTTTTGCTTCCACCGTTTTGGGGAGCATTTTAAGGACGAGAGGCACAAAATCTGGACTAGGATTTGTAGTTATACTACCAAGAAGATTTACACATGTAAGAGAGTAAAAAAATGTTCACTGAAACCAGTGATCATTGCATCAACTAGTTGAAAAAAAAGTACTAACTTTTTAGTGGTAATAAAATATTCACATTTACAGGAGAATGAACATTTTCTATCCTCTTCTTTTGATTTGTCCTCCTCAGGCTTTGGATTTAATGTGAATAACAGCAACCCCACCATATGCATCAATGATCTCATCAGGAAATACAATAAGGAAGAGGGGACACAACTGAAGCCTTTAACTGCAGACTGTCTCATTGCAAGAACTGTAACTGTGCTAGAGAGGCTGATAGATATTTTTCAGGAGAAAGGGCCCAATGGAGTTCTTCACCATTACTACAAGTACTGGGTACACAGGTAAGTGCAACTTTCTGCTCCTCCCTGAACATATTTTATTTTTTTTTCCTTTTTAAAGTAAGTAGGAAATAACTCATGGATGTTTTGTCTTCCACTGAGCATGCGCTATGAGACTGCCTTCAAAAGCAGTGACTTAATGAAGATACATTCCTAAGCAGGAAGTAGTTTTGTAGGGGTGAATAGCAGTAGCACAGAGTAAGGTTAACACGCTGGCGTCGGCTAAAGAAAGCTCCTAGGTGTTTCACATGCATCAGCCTGGAGCAAGGGCGCTGGAGAGTGATTTGTGTAGCTAGCGATGGAGTTGCTGTGCTCCTGCCTTTACAAGAAAAGCAGACTATTAGATTAACTGCTGATTTAACAGAAAGAAAGTAAAATAGGAAATAAAACATGTTCTTGAAAAAAAAGCAGTAAAATGAGAAAGAAAAGTAAGAATTCAAGGCAGTCCCCTGTGCTATTTTTGACAGCTTGCGCTGTTCTTCTTTGCAGCGGGAAGCAAGTCCGCCTGCGCGGCGAGGAGGGCCCGCTGGCCTGGATCGTGGGCATCGACGACTGCGGCTTCCTGCAGGTGCACGAGGAAGGCAAAGGCATCGAGTCCGTGCACCCCGACGGCAACTCCTTCGACATGCTGAGAAACCTCATAGTCCCAAAGCACTAGGAGTCCCCGCGCTGGCGGCGCTTGGCAGCAGGCAGCCCGCGGGCCTCGAGGCAGGCAGGGTGGCTGGGGGCTTCGCAGGGCTTCCTTCTTCTGATTGCTGATGTCTCTGTTCTTTGGCACGGGTAGCATCGAGGCTTTAAGAAAAAGTAATTACCTCATTACTGAAGACCTTTATTCTTCCATAGCAATTGAAAAATATCTATTTTGCTGTTCTCTGTAAGCAGCTGTTCTTTAATAGGAATCTGATTGTAGAGGACTACTTTGCAATGAACTTCCTGTTCATTTACATACTATATTTAGAGAAACGGAAGTAGCTGCTCATTTTCAAAATGTGTCTGTGCATTATTTTTATTGTGCTTTCGCACAGTGCAAATCTCTATCCTTTTCCAATATTTTTCTTAAGTAAATTCTGTTTTATGGATTGCCTGTGGTGGAGCTGGAAAGAGCTCATCATGTATTTCTGAATGACAGAGCTTAACATTCTTTGTATTCAGATTCAAGTCTTAAGAAATAAAGCCCTTCAGAGCCTGGTTAATTTGGTTCTTCTCCACGTGGGCCTGTTTAACCAAACATCCCACGTGCTCATCCCATGATCCGCGATCGTCCCACGGTTTGATCCGGCGCCCGTCGAGGCTGCCGTGCCTCTCTGGGGAGTTTCCAGGCAGCCCCTCGGAACTGGGGATTCTTGCAGAAAGGTGTTCGTGCTGTGCACTTCTTAGCCTGGTGCAGGTGAGTAGATCATCTCGTGTCTCTTTTGAGTCGTGGTCTTCCCAGAGGCTTTTGCCTAGTTGGGAGGTGGGTTGCTCTGTGTGTCTGTGCCCTGCTGCTACGAGCTCCCCAGGAGCCTGCAGCACACAGGGCTGCACAGCAGCGTTTCATAGACATTTATGGCCGAGCATAAACAGCTGTTAATTGGCTTAGTTAAAATAATATGCAAGAATCACCATTGTTGCTTTTTTCCCACCAGATGCTTATGAAAAGGAAAATGTATTTTTGATTTCACAACTGCTTTGGGCTGTAAATTTTTGGCTGCTACTTTTATTTCAAATATTGATGCATGTTACAATCAAGTGAAACTTGGGTCTGTGTTACTAAAGTTTAAATACAAAGAAGGCCCCAGTTTTGTATATCAGAAAAAGAAGAGGAGGGGAAATGTAGAAAAGAAATAAAGACACCCAAGGAAGATATGCTCAAGTCTCCAGGCACCTTCCATGTACAGTTTCACTTCTTTGCTACTTTTACTTACGAGTAGCTTACGAGCAGCCAGTGCTGCTGGTGGTCAGCTGTGGAAAGCCTCCTTCTGGTAGGGGTTTTCCCACCATGTAGTTTTAAGAAGCTTCAGATCGGTGTCGCAGTCTGCAATATGCAGCGGGAGGTCTCTGCCTGCTTTGGTGCAGCAGGATGTGCCCATAGGAGACACCTCGGCTTTGACTCCGCTTCCGGACAGCCCGAGGAGCGTCTGCTCCGGCGTCTTTAATGACGGGTCGCACGGCTTGGTCAGCTTGATTCGTGTTGCTGCCTTGAGACCTGCTCTCCCTGGACGGGTACGGTAGGAGGATGACAGGGAGGAAATGGTGAACCACACTCCTGTGTGAGCAGGAGGGAGCACCTGCACAGCTTCACTCTCAGCTCTGCACACTGAGCTGAACCCTCGTTTTCGCTCAGATGTACCAAAGAACTTGACAAAGAAAAATCCCGTGTTATATGGAACATCTGGATAAGGTCATTCTGCTAACGTCAAGAAAGACAGCGAATCTTCTTATCTGACTTATGCTCACCTTAAGGTATAAGGGGAAGATGGCCAGCAATCTTTTTGTGCCTAACTTGGCACACCCAGAGAGGCACAACATTTAGCTATGATAACTCATTTTTTGTTCTTTATGTAAGACAGACAAATGTGCAGAAAAGTCTCTGGACTGAAGTATGGACAATCACACAACTCTAGATCCAGAAGTGATGCACTGAAAATCTGCATTAAAATATCTAAATTAGTAAAACATATCGGTGGTCATATCTTAAGCTGTTGTCTTGATGAAGGGCTTTCAAGGTGAAACACCTCTTTCATCGCAGGGCAGTCATATCTTCAGCTGTTGTCTTGATGAAGGGCTTTCAAAAATCATCTCCCATGGCGCCCAGATTTCTGTGACTTCAGTTTTCACATGTTGTGAAAATATCTTAGTGGTTTTTTTTATTGATAGGAGGACTCCTATGGACCAGGGAGGATGCGTTGCCTTGTGTTTATGTTTGGGAAAATTAAGCAGGTTGTGTCCAGACGGAACCAGTGCAGTTTCCAAAGACTTGAAGAAGTTCATTGGAATATACTTTAGAGGTCAAGCAGTGCATCTCACAACTATTAAAATGTTTTATGAGACTTCAGAGCATTTTAAAATATATACCTAAGGGCTATTATCTGTAAATAGTATTTCACATTTAAAACCATTTAATACAACTTTTATCTCTTTGCTCATTCTAACTGAGCTGCAAGACTTTGGCAGTCCTGAAAAGCGCCCTCTCTGCACCCCCCTGGAATATATGAGGGCTGTGTAAAGCAGTCCGAAATGCGGCTGGATACCTGCCCTGGAAGCGGCTCCTGCGAGAGCCAGAGGCAGAGCCAGAGCCTCCCTGGGCAGCCAGTGGGGCTTCTGCCTGCAGAGCCCCGTGCGGCCTCGCTCGGGCACCGGAGACATCGGATCTAGGGCGAGGTGGGAGCGGAGGAGAAACGAGGTGGGAGCGGAGGAGAAACGCGGCGGCGCCGGGCAGAGGTGCCGCCCGCGTCGCGCTTGGGCGTCTCGAGCCCCCCGAGATGCTCCTCTCAAAGGTACTGCGGCCGGAATGGAACGAGTGACATCCTCGTGCTTGGTGGTACGCAAGCCGTCAAGCGTGTTTGTGCAAATTAAATAAATTTTCAAAAATACAACATTGCTATTCCGACTGAAGCGCTGGTTTATATTTAGAAAGGAATCAAACTCTTTCTTTATTCCTTTGGCTACAGGATTCCATTAATATTTTAACAGTTTTGTTTTACATAATAAATAAGCAAAAATGCTTTACATTTTTTGGGAATACATATATAATTCTGAGCATTAATAGGTTGTTGGTTTTGCGTGCTTTTCACCTACATTTGCCAAATAGCTCATACCTGCATCATATAAAAAAAGCAAAATCTAATGTTCAGGAAAAAAAATGGAATAGTAGGGTTTCTGTGTTTTTCTGAAGTATAATTGAAAGGTTGAAAAAATATTTGTGTCATGTTTTGTGGTTTTTTGAGAGAAATGCCATATTCTGGCAGGTATCCCATTCGTAAAAATAGCATTTCAATCTTACCTCAGTGATATATTCTCAGAATTTGGACCTATTGTCCACTGTGCTTAAATTCATTAAATTGCTTAAATAACTTTCTTGAAACTACAGGGCTGCTGTGATCCAGGGAGAAGTCTGTTACCTATTTACACTGCAGAGTTCCTGTTAACAAGACAGAAACTTCGAGACATAATTCAGAACTAATGTTTCCAACTTCTTAGAAAAATGTTCCTTCTTTTTTTTTCCTTTCTCTCTCCATATCTCCTACTTCCTATGCCTAAACTCCCTCGAGATTTAAAATGCTATCAAGTCACTTGAAAAAGATACCTATGGCTCAAATAAGTACAGTAGAGAGAAATGAGGTTACTTTTCATAGTGTTTTCCGATTCACACTCTATTTACGTGACATTTTTTTTCTGGTTATTATGGACATGGGCACTGTCCATGGCAGCACAGCCTGCTGCATCCTGTGTGTACTGGGAACATCTGCAGCTTATCGGACTGAAAGTCTGTGCCTGAACTCTTGCTTTTCTCTCATTATAATTTACTCACATTCCAGATGTGAATATGCAAGCGGCGTTTCTATTTTGGAATGGCAGGAAAAATGCTTCACACACTTTTTTAATCACAGATCTTTTCCGAAGCCTACTCGGTGTTATCACATGTGAATGCATAACCGATTCATTATTTCCTAACAGGGAAAATTCATGTATCTGAGTATCACATGCTGTACAACATGTGCGGGAGAACAACGCAACACCTCCTTGGCTCGTGCTCATTTAATAAAGCCTGAAAGTGTGAGTAACAAGGTAGACACCGGAAAATACTTTGTGGTGTTTTACTGAAAATTATCAATGGCATTTTTTAACTGAAGCCAAATTTGTGTGTTCCTGAAAACATGTTTTTATAATGAGACGCACTTACAAGAACAGAAAAATACACGAGACGACTGACTTTGTGTGCAGCAAAGCCACTAATGAGGTATAAAGAAAAGTGCAGTGTGAAGGAGCTGTGCATCGGGTTTCTTTTTAATGATGCACACAATGTCCGCTAGGCCTTTATAGGGCATGTTTTTAATTTAACAAAATCAGCATTCGAGGCTTAGCATAACTGTGTCTCTTGGAAGTCAGTCAGGTCTGGTTGCTGGTGGCAGTGGCTGGGAAGGCTGTTGTTAAGCAAAGGGCCTGTCAGACACCTTTGAGTCTCATCGTTCCGATTTCTAGTCAGAGCGATAATAAAATTCACTCCTAACATTTCTTCAGCTCTGCTACTTTCTCTAGCTTTAGAAACACTGTAGAGTGCAATTACGCTGAATATGTTGGCTTGGATTTGCTTTTTTATCCTAAAAAAATGTTACTTGGTAATGGATGAGTAGGTATTTTTGTTAATATTTAATCCTGAACGATACCTTTGTTGCTTTTTTTAGCAAACCAAGTCAGACAACTGTGAACTTCCAAGTGTATTCTATCGATTGTACTTCAGAGAAGTCTCCTCTGTTAGCCTTTTAATTGGAAGCAATAAAAATAGTGAAAACGGTTTTCAAATATATGTTTTTAAAGCATTCGTTTTACTCATAACAATAAATATTCATACATGCAAGGAGGTAATTGCGTTTTATTGCTGCATATAGAGACAGAGAATGTGTAATTAAAAAAATGTGTGTATTTTATTACATCTGTTAAAGTGTTTTTATCTGTCAAGGTGCAATCCATGAAGAAGTATATTTCCATATTGCACAAGCCAGGTAAGCGTTTTATTGAGAGAGTCTCCTGCTACAGAGAGCCGGGTAAGAGAAATAAAATGTTTGTAAAATGTAAACTAGGCTGGCGCTGGGCTAAGAGGTGGAGCTGGACGCAGCGGGCCGGGCCTGCAGCCGCCCTCCCGTGAACCCTCCTGTGGGCCGACGCCGCAGCCGCTGCCGCTTGGCGCGTCCTCCCGGGAGCCGCTCGCCGTCTTGGCGAGAGCTCGCGGGGCAGGCGGGGGCTGAAACAGCGCGGGCCGACTGCTGCCGGTGAAACACGCGTCGATCCGGACGTGTCCTCGTCTCCGGATTTGTAAACTTCACAAAGTAAAAAAAGGAGGGGGAAAAATCTATTCCTAATACGCTGGGGAAAAAAAATAAATGCATGCTGTATACATTTTGCTTGCTACAGTTTATTGGTGCAAATTGAGCTGTGTGCACTGTTCGGTCCATGTACTCCAACTCTGCCTTCCTTCAGTCTGTTCTCTGTTTCCTTCAATCTAAGCAACCTGTTTTCCTGTTCTGTTTTTTTGGGGTTGTGCAATGACTTTTCATATGCAGACTGTCTGCACACTTTATTTGCGAAGTGCGTGAATCAGTCAAATATTCATCTTACCTTTGTGCTGACAAAAAGATCTATGCTTAAGGAAGTCCAGTGTGTTAAAGCTGAACTCTTCAGACTTCAGGACACTACCAGTAAGTTTAAAATAAAGCGTAAATGTTCTTTATAGCCTGGGCTGTAAAGAATACATTTCGGGTGTTATTATCAAGATAGATAGATACATTTTTGACTAGCTGGTTCGAAAAACAACTGCATGCACAGTCTTCTCCTAGAACAGGCGCAGACACACACTTTTTAGAAGTTTCTTATTTCATCATTTTTATGGGGAATAGTCTGCAGTTGCTGTGATACAATTTTCACCGATTTGCCATTTCAAGACCTGTAACCTCTTAATATGTATTTTTATATGCATTAAGCTACCATGGTAACGTTTCTTGTCGAGATGAACGGTTATGGCAGCACTCTCTGAACACTGAAATCTATGTTAAATAAATCAAATTTAGAGTTAAAACAACTTCTGGATAATTAATAAATAAGCATTTCCCAAACCGAGTTTTGTTGAGTTAGTACAGCTGTATCATGGATACTAAAATCACCACTCCAAACAAAGTTCATTTGTCAGGATGTTTAGCACGTGGATGGAGAGTTTCACACAGTTTGCCAAAAAATACCTAAGCTAGAGTGTAGAGTGCATGGTCGTGATAAAAAAAAAGAAAAAAAAAAACTTGAATGTATTTTGTGAAGCTGGGCTTAAGGGAAAAGAAGTTCTCCATATAAATCTCTGCATATAACACCTATCGTTTAATTTTTTTGCACACTATAAAATAACAAAAATAAGATCTGTTACATGTTTTCTCACTGGCACCAGAGCTTAATCTGTGACAACGAAGCACTGAAGCTACATGGATCTTTTTTCCTGACCTTCAAGGTACTGTTACACACGGCTTGCCAGGAGCGCGCAAGTCTGTCCCTCCTTGACCTTCAGCTATGCTCAGTAAATGTAACCATGTTTTCTCACGCTTTTTGGAAATCACTGCAGTTTGGCTTCTTAATTAAAAGTGAATACTTCCCCATTATCGTCACCTTCCATTGGCTATTATTACAGAAGTTCCGATATAGTGGGGTAGTGCAGATTCCTTGTGGTTTTCTGGAGAAGAAGCTGATGAGGGGCTTTGGTTCTTGTAAATAAATGTATTTACTTCCTCGGAACTGTATCCATAGTTTTCTCCTACGTGTCCTGCGGCTGTACACGATGAGGTTTGAAATGTGCCGTGCTTGGCTAGGACGTGGTGGTAGTTCAGCAGCACGAATGGGACTTGTCCAGAGGCTCTGACATCCACCACGCGATCGCTCTCGGAGCCGTGGTCGAGCTTCGCAGCCGGTCTCTCCTCGCTGTCCAGCTCATCTAGGTTCGTGGCGTGGTGACTAATATGCCCGTATTTGGGTTCCTTCATACAAATCCTTCTTGTCTGCTCATAGACTGAGGGCACGGGCAGCAGATGACTTAATTGTCCTATAGCTTTAGACTGGAAACATTCGGCTTTTGGCAGCAAGGAGCTGGCTATTGAGTTTGAAAAAGAACTTTCGTTAATGCTCATTTTTTCTTGTAGGTCTCTGTTAAAAGCCAACTTGTTCTCTTCTTTAATGAGATGGTGAGATGGTTGAATCCTGCTTTCTATTTTGTTGGGCTTCATGACGTTGGAATCATAAATCTCTTCTTTGTATCTGCTGCCTGGCACGGGCGCTGTGCAGCTTGTGAAGTTGTCAGATAGAGCATCCTGGCTGTATCTTCTGTTTGATAGGGGCACTTGCAGGGAAGAGAAAACATGTTAATTACCGGAGACTGGCACTCGTATATTAGAGACTGACACTTTTTATGACTGAACTTTAATACCCATTTGGTTTGGGCCAGATCCAAGTCCCACTGAAGTCATCAGAGACATTCCCATTTGCCTCAGTGGCTTTGGATAAGTCCCTTTAAGGCAGTACTGAAAAGTCAAAAAACACACAGAAGGCCAGTTAGTGCTGAGCAATTAAAAAAAAAAACCCATTTTCCTTATTACTACGTGAGATGCCTGCTTGTTTGTTTGACTGCGTAATTACAAATCACTGTCCCCATTAATAAGGTGAAATCAGGAAATAATTGAAGATTTAAGTATTTCAAAATGGGGTTTGCTCTCAAAAACACTGGGCTTCAGCCAGCTTGTTTGGAGCTCCACAAAAGATGTATCAAAGGAAAGGTAACATTGACTAAACATAACATTTATGGTCAAATAGGATTCATCCGTCCATATACCGGGCTCTTGACCTTGTAAAAAAAGTGAGGAGAGTAAACAGGTACTGACTTGTGCCATATTGGTTTGTTTCTTTGAAAAACTAGCATCAGGTACTGAAAACATCCATTGAAAAAACAACAGAAAAACTTACTGAATACCTCCGCTTCCAAGGTAATAATACAATATAATATAAATTATGTAATATAATATATAATTATATAGAGTATAAAATTTACAACATATACATGCTGAAAATACTTCAGTTCAAATAGTGAAGTACTAAACAAGGTATGTGCTGAAATTCAGAAGCCAGATTCTTAAATTTTGTGGTGAGTTTAGACCTAGGATTTCTATTCTGACTTTTCTTCTAAAATATGTCGAGCAATTGGCTAATTCTCTCTAAAATTTCTGCATGGTAGCTAAATTCATTTAACGAGTTTTATAATTTTTATCACTTTCTACCTGGCTCCCATAGCTTTTCCTTTTTGTACAATCCTATCCGCAAATGGTAAGAGAAAAAGCCACTGTTTTACTCCTATCATTCCTAGGTGAGTACTATTTTTTGCACTATCATCTTGTATGTACAGTGTAACCATTCTGTATTACTGGAGCTGGAAAGTACTTGGCATATTTGAAAGGTTTGCATTAAAGTTTAAATGAGACACTTACCAAATTTTGCAAATTAATACTAAGCTCCATTTTTTGCCATGCTCACTGAAAGTCCTGAACACCTAAGTGCCTTTTGAAAATGGGATTTTATGTTTTTCTAAAACTTTAATTCAACGTCTTAAAAGTTTTGGAGTTCCCCTGTAGTGGTTGCTGACATAACTGCACCCGCTAATAATTAAGTATTCCCTGTGCTACAGTAGACTGGCAAAGCCTTCATGTACCAGAGAAAGCAGAAATAGCTTAATTGTAGCCTTTTTATATGCCCAGCTTCATTAATTTCAGAGGGAGTCGCACCACATAATTAACACCAGAATTTAAACTGGAGTCTGGATCCAATTTCTCTTGGATCAACCCACCACCCTCTGCAAAACAACAACCTTTCAAGTTATTGGTTTTAATTTCTGCATATTCATTTTGTACCAAGAAGTACATGCAGTCCTAAGTGAACTGCATTCTCCACAGCTGTTGGAAAACAGACTTTGAGCTCACAAATCAAAACGGGTTCAGCCACATGCTCGAGTATAACTTGGAAGTGTTACTACTATGATTATGCTACGATAGCGTAACCCCATAGCTGGCATCCTTACCATAAAGTAAGTACCCATGCTGGGAGTTACCTGTGCAGTGTAAAACTGCAACGATTTAACTCATCGGGAAAACTTGTGCCAGTGTTTTCCTAAGCTCCCTGCACTGAACGGAGCGATGGGCTTGTCCTCCCGCTGCAGCGTGGAGCCCGGTTTACCTGCTGGCTCTGGTCTAAGCTCGGAGCTGGAGTGCTTCCTCTTCCACTTTGAGAGCTAACACTTGTAAGAAGCTGAAGCAGCACAGCAATCAAAGGGCCTGGTCTTGTTATCTTCATTTTTGTGAGCTCATGTTCTGCTGGGCTGGTGGCTGCCTTCTGAGTAGCAAAAAGTAATTTGTATACTTGATTTATAGGATATTATCCATTTTGTTCTATCCTTTTCTGTTTCGCAAACATGGTTTTGATCTCTTTCCTCGAGGAGGAAGGTAAGCAGCCCTGGCTAATTGTTTGCAGGCTTCCATCGGGGTTGTCAGCACATTCGTGGAGCTGGAGCAGAGGGCTTAGTCACGTGTTTTCAGTGCAGCAGAGCACGGTAGTTTTTGTCTGCTCGCACTCAGATCAGCTACAGGAGCTGGACTAAAACCTGCTTTTGTCTCCCTTTGTAGACAAGAGCCTAAGCAGGCCCTGGGAAAAACTCCTCCTGGTGAGTTTTTTCATGCAGGATTTAACAGACAGCTGAGCAGCCGCTCCAGGAGGGCACCATCCTGGGGCTGGTTCACCCCCTCAGGAGCAGGCAGGTGCGCAGGGATCCCGCAGCCACTGTGTGATCTCCGCCACCAAAGCGAGCTCGCAGTCACGGAAGTCGGTGCATGAATCCGCGATGTTTTCCAGAGCAATTCGCCTGGGCTAAGGGAGGCAGCTGGACTGCACGTCTACAGCTGTGTATCTGCTATCACCCTGGAGCAGCAGTAGCTCTCTGAAAGGCCCTTCCTATGTCTTCCTCCCTCTGGTCACAGCAGCCTCCAGCTGCAGCAGCCACCCTGGGCTGCCAGGGACACGACACACGGTGCTGCGCAGGGGGAACCCCGGCGCCGGGCGCGCGAGGGCGAGGGCGCTGGCGCGGGGCGCTCCGTCTCCCGAGGGGCCGGCAGGCAGGGCTGGGCCTTGTCTCCACATCGCCCCGCCTGTTTCAGTCCAAAGGAGGGAGCGATGGCTTAAACCAGCTCAAAGCAAAGGGAGACCAATACTTGGCGCTGATCTTCAACTGGAAGGTATGCAGTCCTTATCAGCAGAGTTTTGCATCTTGCTTATTAAAATGCTGTGTCCATTCTGTGTGATTCTCTGATTTTCAGAGCAGAGCTGAATCCCTACGCATGCCTGCTTTGCCTTGCAGTTTTTCTTGGGCGCTGTGATGTGCATTCATCACAGAGCAGTGTAATCCTGACAGCTCATACGTGTTCTGAGGAGGCAACAGGGCAGCACTTGCCTGTTCATACGTAGCGCATCGTGTTTCACTCTGCTTCCTAATCCATTTTTTGGGCAGGGCCTTCCAGGAAGAGGAGCAATTACTCATCATCAAGCTGAGCTTTTCAAGAGACCAGTGACCACAGCCAATGAAAAATGCATCTTTTAGTCCAGGCCAGTATCTGTGCTGAGTCCTGGTCTGAATCCTAATTTCTCCATTATTCTCCCTCAAAATACAATAGTCAGAGAGAATGTTCTCTTGGACCTCTTTGGATTACATTTTCACTGAACTGTCATGTCTTGCTTCCAGTAGTCCTGGGCTCAGCCCATGAACTGGTTTGTGTGGGGGGAAGGCAGAGGGGAACTTTTTCACAGGTTTCCTTGGTACTCTTCAGGACTTCCTGAGCTATGGCGTGAACTGTAGGGCTGTGCTTCGTGCAGATAGGACAGAATTTCCTTGCTGAGTAGTAGGATGTTGCAGTATCTGCAGTAGTAATGCACCCCTTCAAGTGCATCCCTGACTGAGAAGATGGTTGCCTTCTCTGAAGAAAGTTTCTTTTCTGAGGACTAGGCCAGCTGGAAAGAAGTGGAAGAAGCTTCAAAACCAGATTCGAAGGCAGCAGCATCTGATTTGCAGGCAGCTTTATCTGCTACGTGCTTTTCCAGAGCTTTGATGGCTTGGCATGATAATCTTAAAATCTCTGATCTCTCCTAAAGAAAGTATTTTCCATAGTGAAAAATGTCTCTGGCCTACGGCTTTTTTGGCAGATGCCTCTATGGATGTGATGTGGAATAGCCCTAGCATCCAACCCGGTTGCCAGATGTCATATTTGGCATTGCCTTTGGATTGAAGATAATGATGCTAAGCAGATCCTCTCTGCTTTGAAGCTTGCTGGCTGTCAGTTTTTCAGTGAATTACTGGAAAAAGCAGTAGTTGACAGTGTAAGGAAGATCAGATGCCCCTTTCCATTCAAAGCAGAGAGTCACTTGCAAAGGTCCAGATTTCTGCCCCAGCCTCAGCTGAAGTACAGCAGGGCTCATTTTTCCCTGGGGGAAACAAACTTTGGAGCTATTAGAGATAAATCCTCCGTACGCAGGAGAGGCTCTGTGTTTCCTCCCATGTCCATGCATTGCCTGTGTGAACTCCAGCAGTGATCTCTGATCAGGACTGAGTTTCCCTATTTTCCTTCTTGTCCTTCCTCAACAGCCCAATTGTAAGTGATCTTCAGAGATTTAATTGCACACAGTCATTTTTCATCAAATGCCCAGCACTTAAACATCCTTCAAAATATATCCCTGCTCAAAAAAGAGCCCATATATTCCAATTTAAGCAGAAGAAGCATAATCAGAGATAATTATTGCTGGCCAAAGCAGGGGATCCACTTTCTCAGTCAGTCTCATGTCATCTACCAGTTTGGAAGCAGAAAAGAAACCCTTGGCTGACTTCTGTACACCTCGTACAGCTTCGTTCTGAAAACTTACCTGGGGAGAGTTTACTTTAACTCTTACACAAAAGAGTTTCCCACAAAGATATAACCTTTTTCTTTTCCACAAGGTTATGGCATTTTTAGAGAGGACGAAATCATTTCTAAAGCATCTCTTTCTTACTCATTGGCTGAAGCCATTCCTGTTCACTCCCAGTCCACAACAACAACAAAGGGAAGCCACAGTATTAGACAAGCATGAGCTCAGAAAATAACTATATATAGCATTAAACTATATGACCTTCAGTCTTGCCCATTTGCAATCCAAATGCAGAGCAACAAAGTAATATACTGCAGTCAGCTGCATGAGGACAAAACATGGGGCTTGGGCCTCTGTGGGAAAGACTTTCAGTGTCTGGTACCTACTTCTGCCCAACGTAACAAGCAGGAAGACAAACTCGGCAAATATTAAAGGAGTTAGATGGTTTATCCACCTTGTGATACATTTTTGCCACTGATGCATTTTACTAAGCAAGTGCTTATGGTAAAGGACAATGGGATAAACATGTCAATTCTATAAACATACTGGACGCTCTGCTTCACTATTTTTGGTTTTCTGCATTTCCTAAACTCCTTGTGTTTCTTATTTTCGAACTACAATTGCAAATCTTTCCCATGCACCGCACCGCTTTCCTTCTCTTTCTTTTTTTGAAGTGACACCCACCTTCGTAACTCTGTGCAAGATTGTGCCGGACGATGTTCACTGGCTGATCAGAAAGACTTTTGGATGGCGACTGGCTGTTGGGTACCAAGGAGTTGGCATAATGCCACTGGCACTCTCCGTTCGCCTGCAGCGTGCTCAGGAAAAACCGTGCCACTTCACAAGGTGCTCCTTGAGACTGCCCGAACTTGGACGGCAGCATTTGCTTTTTGCTACTGAAGACATGAGAATCTACAGGGAAGTGTCCATAATGGTAAGAGAAAGGCAAGCTGTATGACGGGGCATATAAAAGTTCACTGTTTTCTGAATGGAAGTTTTGTTCTTGGATGGTGGCGGCGTTGACTGCAGGGCTGGATCGCCAGTTTCCCACCTGGCTGCATTCCAGTTTGTCTGTTTGAAATGAGCTGTATTGCTGGGAGAAAGAAAAAAAGGAGGGGAGGAGAGTTAAATGACTGACTTTTATATGAAACCACATAACATGCAATATAGGGGCCCAAACCCAGGCCTCCTTGAAATGCAATATCACTGACAAACAGGACTGGCTCACCAATGCATCTAAAGTTCCTTATCTTTAGTATAACTTTACCTTTGCTTGGCATAGAACAAAAAAAAAAAAAAAAAGACATCCTCATGTTAAGGGCATATTTGGTAATTTTGCACGGCTGGATTTTAGCTAGTCAGTAAGTTTAAGCAGTTGTAAATATCAGAAGACATGCGTTCTCTGCAAAGCATGAGAGGTCATTGATAAATGAAGCTGCAGAACATGAAGTTGATCTGCGTTTGGTAATGACAGTTTGTTGGCATGTCAAGCTTCAGAACAGTAGGAAGACAAAATCTATCCTTTGAATCAACCTCTATTATGAGGATCTCCTCCCCTCTCTCACTCTCTTCTCCAGACTCCACACACTCTTCAGCTCTTGGTGTTTTGAACGAAGTATATGTGCTAGCTGCATGTGGTGCTATATGAAGACAACACTACTAGTAGTAACCATTTTGAAGTCCCAAAATGTCCCCAGATGGGTATCAATCCCACCAAACCTGTATTATGGACAATCTCCCTGGTTTGCTTTTGTGTCTGCTTCCAGCTTGCCCAGTGACAGACATCCCAAGTCCCACTCCAATGCTCTGTGTACTGGGTTTTCCTTTCCCGAATCACTCCAGCATAAGGAAATTGCCTATATCCATGTGACATAAAAACTCTTGTCTATCAATGATAAGCAAAACTCATTCTACAGTAGCTTGAGTTTTCACAATCCCTCTATCTTCAGCACATTTTTTCTTCTTTTTACTGACAAAACACATTGCTTCTCAAGCACTTTACACACTCCATAATTCAAACGTCTTTGTGTTTGCATCAGTTGCCAGAGATTGTTTGTACTAATTGTGCCATCCCCTGAGAGGAGAAGGATCTTGCTTTATTCTGACCTACCTGTGACAGAGAATGCTATTATCAGTTTTACAGTAAGTTCAACTTCTGATGATCTTGTCCCAAGGAATTTACCATAAAAACTGGGAGGTAAATATTGCTGGAAAGGTTACCTGTTGTGGGTAAGGCGTTGTTCGCAGTTTTGCCTTCATCTTATTACTTTTGGGTTTTACTACTTTCCTTGTTTCCTGTGAGGTAGATACTGAGTTTCTGCATGAAAACTGTGACTTAGAAATGGTGACCTGGTCCAGTGATAACTGAAGTTCCTTATACTCAATATCTCTGCAAAAGAATAGTCTAGTAAATACATACTCAAACATACTGCATGAATCCAAAATAGTTCCTTTGGAAATACATGGTAGCTTTCACAGTGTTTTCATTTTCACTCTTCCTAGATTTTCATTACTTTGCAGTCCTGGGTTGGGGTCTTAGGAGGCAGTGAAATTTTTCATCTGGCCATGTTTCCACTGGCATCTATTGCAAACGTTCCATCAGGAACATAGTAAATATCTTTATATTAAATTTCCCCACTGTCTGAATCTAAAGTGTACCAGCTTCTTCTTTAAGCCATGCCTGGCACCTGCATTTTGCTGCATTACTTTGCATTATATTGCATTGCATCATACTGTACTTAGTCCCTACAGCTGTGAGGAAGATCTGATGGGAAGACACAGGTCAGGCTGAGGGTCTCCTCCTCAGTCCAGAGCTGATCTCTTCCCTGGCTCTCACAATTTGCTCCAAGGCGAGGAAGAGGCGCAAGCTTCCTTTCCCACCAGTCTGTGGTGCTTGTAACATGCCATAGGAGCTGCAACATGGTTTTGATAGTCTCTAGATTTTATTTCCTGTTCTATTCCATTTTACTTGCCCCACAGACAGATTTTTACACAAAAGAGGCTAAGGAACAAATTAAAGTAAGAAAGACTGTGGTGCCCCTGCTGCAACCTTAATTCCTATAGTTTTGATGACTAAATTGCCTCATTTGGTTTTGTTAGCGGTCAGTGGAGCATATTTTTGAAAGGGTATCTAGGAAAAAAACATTTCTTTCTCCCTCATTTTCTCTCTAGAACTCATTTTCTTAACTTTTTGATGATGAATAGCCTAGAACTAAATTCAGCCCAAGGATATGCTGTTATATCCCTGACATAGCTGCCTCTCTTTACCCAAATCACTTGCCCCAACTCACTGGACCCAAGCAGGTTGAAGGACTGAGTCTTTCCTCAGTGCTGCTGCTGGCTCACACATCTTTACAGGCATGACAGAAGCATGACAGGCCCCTAAGTCCAGGGCTCAGTCGCTTACAGAAATACTCCTGCTGATGCTCATTTCATCCAGTTTAACTCTTCAATAGCAGATGCAGCACTACAACATGCAAACACACATGACCCCAACACAGCCATCATGCGAACTTCTAACACATCTCATGTCAGAGCCAGGTAAGAAATGGACCAGCCAGAAGAAAAGGGTGAGTGGTTCCCTGCTTCTCTTAACTGCTGACTAACATCTGAGGTGTCCACAATCACTTCCTTACAAATTGTCTTTGTGCGTTTCACCATTGCTTTGCCCTCTTATCTATGCACTACGTCACTGGCTTTGACAAAGCCAGGTAACACAATTAGGCAAGGTATAAATACTGTCTATACATGTTTCTCTCTCCCTTCCTTCAGCCCCTGCACTTTCACACAGATTTCTGAGTCTCTCAGCTTTATAGCAAGACAGGAATTTCACGATTAGGACCACAAAGCGTCAGCTGCAGTTCCAAGCCCCTGTGCGTGCACAAGCTCGGTGGGAGCTACTTGCCACTGAGAGACAATAATTTAGCCCTGAGTATCCGTGGAAGCAGCTCCTTGGTAATTCACCTGCCTTTGACAGGGGCAGCACATTCCACCACCTCCCTGTCTCCCTGCAGGGTGGCAGCGGCCCTGCCTGTGTCTCACACGAGGGCCCGTCAGCGGCGCAACACGCTCAAGCACAAGCTCTACAGTGTGCGAGGCAGCCGTAAGAAATACTAGCCCCTTTCCCCAGTGTGCTATTTGCAGCTGCTTTCTGTAACTAGGAGGGGAAGGATGTGAGGAAAGAAAAGTGGCTGTAACTTGCAAACACAGAGTGATACTGGAAGACACGAACATAGCAAGCCTAAGTGATTTCATTAGTAATGAATTAATTACTGATAACAGGTAATGGTACAAAGTATTTTGACTTACGTAAGGACATAATTGACACTCACTATGCAGTGAGGCCGTGAAGAACGGCTGTTATGCACAATGGTGGCATAGCTCTGTACCCACACCCAGCCTCCATGCTTGGACAGTAGTCGATAGTACTTGGTTGTGACTTGGCCTTTCACCAACACTGTAAATACAATGTAAATACATTTCACATGCCTTGAACTTGTGATCAGTTCCTTGGGGGAGGTTATGTGTAAGGGGGTGCTTTCCTCTCTCCTCCCACTCCCTTAAATCCCCCTTTCCCAACAGACTTCAAGTAGCTTTGTGGCGAAGGTGTTTGTCCTGCTCCTCTACGTGGTCTCACAATGTCACCTCACTGCTCACAAATCCTATGTCCCATTCTGTAAAAACACTTAACTGAAAAAGAAAGGTAGAAGGCAGCAAAAGAATTTTGAGGCAGACAGAACTGAATGATTTTTTTTTCCCAGTGTATTTGCAAGCATTTTGACATTGCTGGTTTGAAAGATTATTGTGTATTTTGTGCATATTGCATTGCAGGCTATGCTGCTTTTTCCTCTGTAAGCTCCATGCTTCTAAGGCTGATTTAAAAGGACAAATTTAAAATATTATTTGATTTTGATTATTTAAACATACAAAGACAAGGCCAGAGAGGTGAATCAGTTATCAGATAGATCTCGCCAGGAATGTAAATCCTCTGAACACCAGTTTGGATTCTCTGTGGACAAAGTTGTTTCGACTCGTGGCCATGCTACGGTACGAGCTGTGCAGCATCTCTGACTACTTAAGCTAGTCACATATCTGGTTTGGTGCCAGGCATTTATGTAATGATTCACAGCAAGAGAACATACCTGCTGGCTCTCGAAGATCTATTTGCTCTTGTGTGACCCTAGAGCATTTCTCTAGAGAGCTCCACCTTCTTACTCTTCTATACAATCAGTTATTTAATATAAATTAAGGCATAAAATGCCAATTTTGATACTCAGATTATCACAAAAGATGAATAGCAGCAATTCCTTGTAGCTTTGCAGAAGACAGGATAAAGAAATGGAATTACTGCTTGAAAATGCAAGGCTTGTACTGAACAGAACTTATTAGCAAAGCTCAAATCATTTTGTTCTCTTACTGTACATGCCTGGTGCACAAGCAGATACATAACGAACCAGTCAAGCAACAATCCTCTCTTTCAGACAACTCTAGCAGAGCAAACAATGACTTAAAATGAATATATGGCCCTATAATAAGTATTTAGAGGAGATATTTCTGAAAGGGATGGTATTAATATTAAATCTGGTACAAAAGAGTGCATAATCTTTTTGTTTACTTTTTTTCAAATTAATGACACTGTTTTTATTCATAAATGAGTAGGAGGGGGCTTTTCTTTTTTAATTCACTTGCTATTTGGGGGTGTAGACGATAGTAATTCCAATAGTAATCTGAGACCACAATAAAGTCAATAATGTGAACAACCAAGTGGAAGACTGGCAGAAATACAGCAAGTGGCTTGTTCTTGGCTAAAGGTCCTTTAAGTTCAAGTCTGTAACATATGGGTCACCTCTGCGGGCTGCTTACCCTCTTATCCATCTACACAAGTCACCAAATATTTAATTTTTTTAACCTGGAAGTGTCAGTTCTCCTTCCACTATGATCAACTCGTAATCAACAGTCCAATTCTAGCAAATGATGCTTTCCTTTTGGTCTAGTTCATCCAAAAGACTTGTTTATATGCTCATATAATTGTGGTGTAGGAATTAAAACTATGTCTTTATGCTAGTTTAATGGTCAGATTTTCCTTGAATTCACAATGTCTTGCTACTCAGTTAAAAATTAATGCCATATGGATCACTAGGTATAACAAAGTTCTTTGTATCTTTTGAGACTACTTTTGATGATTCTTTTTATTTCTATCCTTCCCAAATGCCTCTTTTAGCTTTCCAGTTAAGGCAATATTTTAAAAGATGTGAAAATCCCTGAGGGCTGCAGTGCTCCGTTTCCCTTCCTAATTGTATGGATAAACCAGTATTTCTGCTGGGACCTGGGTAGGGCTCTGCGTCTCCTGCATTTTCAGCAATCTGGGGAAGGTCTGGCCTTGGCTGCAGGACGGTAGCTGTGCTTCCGATGATACAGTAAATGAGCTCAATTTCCTCTTGGCCCTGTGTTAAATCACCCTGTTGGTTGCTGAGGGGGAAACCTCAGCAGCGGGGGTGAGACAAATCCACTACCAAGACGGTCTGTGCAGTCTCAGGCTTCGGGTGGCCCGCGCGGCGACCAGCTGGGGAGGGCTGGGTGGCTTTGGCCGTGGCTCCTCGCCGTGCTGCTCGCAGCTGCCTGTCCTTCTCCAGCGGCTCCGTCCCGGAGAGCCGCGGAGCGCCGAGGCACCGGCCCCGCAGGGTCTGGCCCAGAGGGTTGCGGGTTCTTCTAAGAGGTTGCAGGCAGCCCCTGGGGCTGAGCCTTGTCTTGCCAAGGCACAGGGATGTGACCCGTGCAGGAGCTTTCTGGGAAGAGCAGGAGGGCTGCACAGGCTCCTCTGCCCAGCAAGATGGCGCAAATGAAAGCACTGAGCAAAGGCCAGGGGAATATTTTGTCTGTACTGGAACAGCTTCTCGTCCTACCTTTCAGAATGCAAAATCTTTAGGCAGGGACACGTTGTTTGTGTGTCCACATTTCCCCAGTTGCAGAGGAAACACTGTGTATATTGATGGCGCTATAGAAATAAATAACACTAGTTCAAACTTCAGAGGCTTTTTCGTAGTGCTGGAAGCTAATCAAATGTTTCAAACAGGAAGCTCTGTTTGCCGCCAGCACACCTTAGGCAAATATGCACATTTACATTTTCCCCATAGTTTGATGCTCTTGTTAGACCCCTTCTAGCTTGCTCCCCTCACTGTTTCCTTTGTTTTGCTCTCTATACTGCTTAAATTAAAGGTCTGTTGCTTTAGGTCTTCACTTTGGAGTATTTCTTCCTCTTTGAAAAAGCAATTATCCTAGTTTAGATTTTTTTTTTTCTTGATACCCTTGCTAAGTGTAATATGTTTCTCTCCAGATTTCATCATCAGATGACACTTAATCACCAGGTTTGCTTTATGGAATGCAATGTCAAACCTGCCAGCCCATTGCTGCGTGGGTTCCTCAGACATTTACTGATGGATGGTGAGGGAGCTGCAACGGTGGCTCCCCAGAGGCACAGAAGCTTGTGCACTTTACATCTGTTTCAACAATTACTATTGCCTGGTATTCTGGCCATGATTCTGCACTGTTCCCACTGTTGCCATTACTTTTTCCTCTTCTTGGCATTTAGTTGCTTTGAAACTTTCATAAATTTGGATTCATCTTCTCATATTTTTCTTCTGTTTTTAAACTTTGCAATAGTTTATCTATGTAATTGAGGTAGAGCATCTAGAGAAGTTTTTTAGCTATTCTGCTTGGTTGAGAGAGCTTTTTGTGTGTGCATTTTTTGTTTTGTTTTGTTTTAGCAATCTAGCAAGCATCTTTACTAAAACTTCAATCATGCATAGATGAAACTTGGGGCCGAAGTGAAAACCATCTACCACCTGCACAGAGCTATCCATTGATAAACTGTTTTCCATACATGATTTGGACTATATTGGAATCATCTATATACCTACCAGTTGATGTAGGTATTTCAAACAGCCCTGTGAAAATAACAAGTGATATTTTGAACACGTCAATAGTTGCACCTGGATGCAAACGCTAACCCTACAAAAAGGATGTTCACAAGGGGACACTGCAATGCATCCTGGTGGTTCTTGTTTTTAATTTGTTATGGCCCAGAGCTTTCAATGCTTTTTTCGGTTAATATGAACTTGCTGTAAAGATCAGCTTCTGCTTTCCCAGGTGTAGCACCCACTGCCATCAACAGTATATGGTGCTTGGAATTTCAACCTTGACCTGTGCCAAATACAGTTACGTCCTCCTTTATATTCCAGATCCACATACATAATGCACAGGTGAAGAACTGACTATCCTCTCCTCCAGGGGAGCCTAAAACAGGGATTTGCCTCTGATTACTTTCAGCCTACAAGAGCAATCACTAAAAAAATCCACTAACATTGGTTTTGGAATTTCATCTTTGTATCGTATGGTCTGTGGCAGACTGAGCCAAATCCAGAGTTCAGCTATTCCCTCAGTTTGCTTCTAAAATTAATGTGCTACTGAATGAACTACTTTCCAAATCCAGATGCTTGAAGATATGATTAGTGTCTCTCTTGGCAGATGGGGAAGTATTAAATGTATTTTTTCCCTCTGTTTTTCAAACCTCATCCACATGCTATTAATGAACATTCATCTCAAGATTTTGGGGGTTTGCATTCACTTCAAACGTGGGCTGAACATTACCAATATATTTCAGAAGAATGAGGAGCTGTTGCATAACTTTATTTTATTTTAACCAATCGAGGTTAATAGTCCAGATCTTTTTTTTTTCCCTTGAAGAGCTCAACACCCAGAATCAGGTCTAGATTTTCAAAAGAGACCAAGTCCTTTAAGCAGAGCGATAAAAGCAGCCAGATATATTTTTTTTTCTGAAGCACAGCATATTAAGGATCTAGCTTATTTGCAAAAGTCCCAGTTTCCTTAAGTGATAGCCAAGCACTTTTGAAAGTCTGCCTCTAGTCAAGATGTGGAAAGCTGTTGTCTGAAAAATTTATCATTCTACTTAACACATTTAATTCTAACAATCCCCTTACTTACAGAGATGATGAGCATATCGTAAATGGAACACATCACATCCATGAACGTGGTGATAGAGGGTTTTTTCTATCAGGTCTTGAGGCTCATACCCAGTTAATTCAGTCACCCTAGAAAAGAAGGCTTCATAATAAGCAAAATCTCCATGGACATTCAGATTATGCCAACTAACCAAGTACCTAAACACTGCAAGGCAAAATGTTAGTTTTGGAAACAGAATCCTCATCTTCACCGGAAATTAAAACCTCTCAGCCCAGCCAAAGCAAGGTGCAGCTATTCCCTGGCCTGTCTCACACAGAGGTAGGAAAAAGACTCCCTTTACTTGTTTGAACATTGGGCTTTTGCCACTGTCATGCATGATCCTTTGCACAAGGATTCGTTTGAAGAGTCATTCATGAAACAATAAAATTACTGTCGTGCACTGCTGTCAAATTTTCATTTGCTTTTGGAAGCATACAAGTGTAGCATGTATGTCAGTCCATACAGACTTTAATCATGAATACAAATGAATCCTGGGTAGCACTCTAGCTAAGAATGTGAAAGGACAAGGAGCTCTGAAGGTCACAAGCTAAAAAAAAAAAAAAAAAGAAAGAAAAAAGGACATTCAGAAAAAGCTTATTCACATAATGAGAAATAGGATAAGGGAGCAAATCTGAAACAGCAGCATCTCTTCATATGTTAATGGCCAGGCTACCGACATAACAGCTGTACCTGGTCAGACCTAAAAGTCACCTGACAAGTCAGACTTCCTGGTTCAAAATGGTCTTTTGTTTATTTAGCACAGTTGTTTGAGAACAAAATCTACTTAAAGTACATCGTACAAATCTGCCACAATCTGGTTGTTTACCTAGTGTTGCTGGGGCTTGTTTATGATATCCTGGGCTTTCTTCATCTAAAAATGCAGAACAGAGGCACCATGCAAAGGCATTCATGGCCTTTGTCTACATTAACAAGCAACATAGTCCTTTAGCAGGAGGTCTGTTAAATAAAACGGTCAGTGCTGAGGATCCTTGCCTATTTTTTCACTTGGGACTAGTTCCAGTCCAGGCCCATGGAAGGAAAGCTCACTAGTCCTTGGAGTGCCTTAGACCTGCTCCTGAATGTTGTCTTCCTGCTTAGGTTCATCCAAAAGGAATCCAGTTCATACTCCTAAGATCTCTTTGTGCCGTGTAGTGAGCAGGGATGGTCAGGGTGCTTCCAGTCAGAGCTAAAACACTAAGGTGGATATGCTCTGTATCCAAGAATAACACAGTACTATCAACAGAAATGAGGAATGGAGTCTCAAGTAGCATGTGTCATTGGGGATTGCATAAGGTTTGCCTTTTTTTGTTTTTATTATTTACTCTACATTTTATTTACTCTCTCCCTAACTCTGAGAAATCATGTGGACCTCACAGGGACTGGGGACTGTAGTTAACCTTCTCCTTGGAAGAGAGCAGGATGCAGGGAACTGCTCCTGAAGAAAACCAGGAACAAACAAACTAACAAACTGACAAAAAATACCATTGTGGTCTGATTTATTAAAAATACAGCACAAACATATCCACACCTCCCCAGCCATTCCTGCATCTGGGAAAGCCTTGCATGCCTTTGCCTCGGGGACTGCCAACGCAGAGCGCGCACATGTGCTCCCTTTCTGCAGGGGGCTATTTGAGCACATGCTTGTGTTTCTCCTCCACACTCTGCCCTGTCCCTCTTGGCTTATAATTCCAGGGGCTCAAATTCTGACTTAAGCCAACCAGCATGCTGAAATACTAGGATAAGGTCCTATTCTGGCTTCAGTGCCCCTTCTGACTTCAAGGCAATCAAAGCAAGGTGGCAGTTTCATCTTGCTCTCTTAAGCAGGGTAGTAGAGACACAGCTAATCTAAAACACCAAACATCAAAAGCCAAAGCCTAAGCTGGGTGTGAATTTTTGTGGAAATGCAGCCTCACTATGAAACTGGTCCCATGGGCCAAAAGTATCATGAAGAGTGTAAGAACACCCAAACTTTTGGAAAGTCTCAACCTGGAACTAAGCCTAGCTGCTCGACTTCCTTAACAGAAAAACAACCCTTCAGGAAGCCACTGAAGGGATCCTGGACACGTAGGCACACAGAGTAGGAAACAGAGCTTGCCCTCATGATCAGCGCTGCCCTCTAGACTTCTTTAAAGCATTTCGATGCATGAACTGCACCACCAAAATCAGATACTGCAAATCACTTCAGGTGGAAGTGACTGTCTCTCTATTCCAGCAACCTTGATAAATCAGCTCCCACATGTTTTGCACTGTACTGGGTATCTTATTTTCCTGCTCTTTCCTACAGTGGAGCACTGGCCTGGTTGCTGTAACAGTTACCTCTAAAGATCTAGCAACACTCCTGCTGCATGGGTGCTAGAAGCAAGACAGAACCACTTCTGTCTTATTGCTGATACACCCCTACCGGGAGCAACTATCATTTGGTTTGCTCAGTTGGAGGAGTAAAGGGCTCTGGTAACACTTAATAGCCCAGACTGTCCCGTGTGTGGACAGAGATGACATACATCTGCTCTTTGGTAAACACAGCTACACAGCAGTACTGGTTGTATCTGCACTCCTGTCAACACCTCTGCTTAAACTGTCTCCTTTGAAGACGCTTCAGTCTCCAGGCAGTTCCTCTTAGGCACATCATTTCCTTTTCTCCACATGCAAAGACATGTTGCTGAACCCCTTGTGCTTCTTTGTAGCTGTTACATTAAGGAAAGCGTGCCAAAAAACGGTTTCCAGAAACAGCTAGCTCTGTATTCTAGCAGCCGATGGCCCACTATCTCACTGGCCTTAGCTAGATAGAGAGAAAATGTGCTTGCGTAGCTGACCTAGCATGCAAAACGCCCTCACAGTTGTGGATATGGATTATTTTTCACTATTATACATAAATATCATTTCTGCTTCTTACAAATCCAGCATGTCAAGGAAATGAAAAAGTATGTCACATAATGCTTCATATTACAGGGATTTTTAAAGAACCATTATTTCATCGATAGTCAAACATTGTTATTAAATTGGGCTTTTCCCCTCAAGGTATTTCAAACTGCACTGTACAAAGCATCACTGTATAGTAAAAGATACAAGGGTTCAAAAAAGGATGAATGAATCATTTCACATCTCCTTGCACTGAAGTTTTTGCGCTTGTCTTCTTAGATGACATGCAAACTATGTTGGCTAAGAATGGAGATGAGGTTTTCTTTCTTAAGCACTAGCCATTTTTCCAAGCTCTTTTTTTTTTTCTTTTTTAATAATGAAGGTTCACTCTGCTTTCATCTGATGCCCCAACTGAATTTGTTTTCATCCTAACAACCTCATTAGTAGGTTGGTTTTATTGTTAAGGCATTAACACTGAAGTGCTAGAGACTAAATTTTCTTACCACTCTGCCTGTCAAAAGCTTCCTGGATGACCCTGGCAAGTCATTTGATCTCAGTGTCTCAGTTTACTGTTTATGAATTATGGATGAGGATATGTCCTTATCCCTTTTCACTAGTTGTGTCTATTAAGATTGTATGTCCTTTAGGGCAAAAATATAGTACTGTTTGCCTGTATTTTGCCCACAGCAAGGAGACTTCAGCTGATTTTGAAACTATTGATTACTATTGATTCTTACATGTTGATATTCAAGCCTTACAAGCATCCAGAAGAGCTTCAAAGGCCCTCATGAGCTTTGTGTTCCAGGTGAATTTTGTATTGCTTCATCTTTTTTGTTACTATTTTGATTCGTATAGAAACCAGTGTAATTTATTATAAAACTTGCCTCTCAAACATTTTATGCTAGAAATGTAACAGACGCTTACCTGGAATCTAGGAATATTAACTTTAAGTCCAAACTTGCTCTGAACATAAACATGTTGCTGTGAAGCTTGATCTCAGTGATTGCACTGGGAGGTAAAGATTGACCTACAGCCACCAGCCCAACGATTTGGTAACAGGAGTCATACAAGGACATATCTAGCATATATTGCCGTATCTTCAAGTAGCCACTGCAATGGATCACCTGGCATGAGAAGAAAATACACTCACTGATTGGCAGCTGACCCTCCAGCCATCCACCCACCTCACCTCAGTTTTAATGAGGTTATAAACCAATAAACCCTTCTAACGTTTTTAGCTACCGCATAGTCTGATAAGGCTTCAGAAGTCTGGTAATTTATAAATGGACCCAAAAAACACAGTATATGCAGTTTGTGCATTTACTGCTAGCAATGCTGGATTAATCCAATACTGAAACACCATGCTGTTTGGCACTGTTAGTGCCTAGTTAATGACTTCAGCTTTCTTTGGTATAGATTTCACAGATTTCTTGTATAGCTTTCTTGTGCATGCAGTCAGAATTCCTGCTCCTTTAAAAACAAAAAAAAAATCTGGAAATTGCTTTTAAAAGTGACTCAGTCTCACACATACACACAGACACATATAGGTATACCTGAGCATCTGTTTTTTTAAAAAAATACATATTGTTCTGATGAAAAACAGACACTAAAAGCCCAGTGATTATGACGTGGGCAAGCTACTTATGAAACTTAAATACCATCTATTTAAACACACTGCAGATGAGTTTTGAATTCTTCAATCGGGGGTTGGACTAGATGACCTCTAGAGGTCCCTTCCAACCTTAAGGATTCTATGATTCTATCAGGCTCCAATTACATTCTACTGATACACTAACAAGGACAGTATCTTGAGACTGTATTTTTGAATCCCCATATACAATTTCTAGGGACAGGAGTGATGACTTCAACATTACCCTTTAGCCTATAACAATTCACAATGATGTCAGCTAAAGAGGAGGTAGAAATTGCAATCTGAAGGATCTTCAGGAACATAAGATTTATTAGCTGTAGGGCTGGCGTTTAGAAATCATTTGTGCTCTTGCCAATGTTCTGTGCCAAATAGTTCACAGGAGACTTGGCTTTGTGGAGAACCAGAAATACAAACTGTGCATCCTTCAGCTTAATATCTGTGTTTGTTAGTTTGACTTTTGTCTGTGTCCAGGCGAAAGGAATTGATATCCATTGTACTTGGTACTCCTGAACAGTCTACTAAACAGTCACCTAGAAATAGGCTCCTGTGCAACCTTCTTCCCTCCTTTCCAATCAGCAAGTGATAATACATCCAGTAGCAGAAAAGCAACAATTAGAACTTATGTAGGATCTCACAGTAGATATATTAATTCCCTTACTATTTGATTTGTGTATTATTTTCCCTGCATTTCAGCTATTTAGGTGATATTGTAAAAAGCTCTAAGCATGGTCATTTAAACCAGTAGCTATCTAAATAAATACATCCTTAAAGTGATTTGCTATGTAAGATGTGTAAACTTGTAGCAGAGAACAAAAGAAGAATGAATGTGATTGCCCTGGCTAGCAGACTAAACCAAAACAGAAACAAAATGAAGACAAAAACAAACACGTGACTACAAGCTCTGCTTTCTTAACTAATTTCAAATTCCATTTTGGGAGAGCACCATTTTTTGCTGGGAGGCTGCTGAGTAACCTGGGCTCCATGCAATGAAGAATAATTATTCCAGTATAAATAGGTGGATATATGCCTGGACTTGAAGCCATTTCATAAGAGAACTCTGCTTCTCTTACAATCTTTTCCTTTTGTTTGGAATCCCCACAAGACTGTATGCGAAATACTCTTGTCTCACAATACATAAGGGATAGAACTGCACTGTGTTGGTCGAAGACCAGCAAATGCACACACAAAAAAGCTGAAAATAAGAACTATCTAAATCATGTTTCTGTAGAATTTCAGCATTTGCTGTTGGTTCTGTTCTCGTGTAATAAGTAAAAAGATAATACCAGCAATGAGACTTCTAAACAAACTTGATAGTTCAGCAAGATTCAAACCTGAGTTAAACCTGTGGTTGGTTATTGCGAGCAACGTTCTGGTCTCGTTCATGTTGAGGTAACTCTGCTCAGGCCAATGAGGTGACCTGTGCAAGTGCTGCCAAGCCGAGCGCAGACACGCCAAGGCTGAGGAAGGCTTCCCCACCAAGCCTGAAAAATCCCGCACTCTCCATCCCTGCCCCCCCTGCCTCCGCTTCCCTATCGGAGCAAGAGCCAGCCACGCACACTCCTTCCACCGTTGTTTTTGGGCTGTTCTCCAGCCAATTTTCCACTCTGGGACATCAGGGAAGCAGGATGTGGGATGTGCCACAAAGCACACTCCAATCTGCTGCTGGAATCCAAATCACCACGCAAGACAGTTGCGTTACTGAGGGACTGTCCAGCCAGCAGTGGCACTTTTGTATCTGTTCTGATTCTTTCTGTCAGGCTGTGCTTCCAGCTACACTTACGTAAAAAAGTAAGTAAATAACAGTATTACTGTTAAATATTAAAAAAAAAAAAGAAAAAAAAAAGTTTATATGCATTACCTTGTAGCCACTGCATGTCAATCCTGCATTCCTCTTGGCTAGAACACACTTCATTCTCAGGAAAAATGATCTCTCAATTTCATATTCTGAAAGCATAAACCATACAGATTATTTATTACTAAAAATTTCAAATCAATGCATTGCATTGCCTTCAATGGTTTAAGATGTCTTTATGTCTCAGCCTTAGACAGAAATAGAAATCAGCGATTCCACCTTCCCACTAAACCTCTTCCCATGGGATTTATTTCACCTTTGTGTGAAAATTCTCAGTGAAAATTAGACAAGTCAGCAACATTAGGCCTCCAACTTTCTGTTTTTACTACCTTTCACTGGTAAATCACCTTGATCATGAACAGCCAGGAACCAGCCCATATGGGTAAAGGGAAGGAAAGATTTCCTTTGGAGTTTAAGCAAACCAATGTACGAACCCTCAAAAGTGAAAACAAAAATAAATAAGAAAATTCATTGTTTTTGTAGTAATTTGAGTGTATGTAGTTAGTCATGTCCAGGCCTTCATATGCAGTATTATACTATCTGTTTCACTGACTCGCAAGCTCTTCTTGATAGGGGTTTTTTAGCTTCACAGATAACCTCAGGGAATTCTTTTGAAAATTAAATGTTATTCAGGCAAATCAGTATTTTGTCATAATAAGAAGGTATTATTCTCTTTTAAAGAAATAACAGTTTAGATGTCATTAATATTAATAGTTTTGACTATTTTTTAAACAAAAGCTGCAGTTTGGCCAAACATAACTATATTCAGAAAAGTTATTTGGTACTTCTATGAATAGGAAAATCAAGGGCCCAGAGGGATTTTCAGGTTTTGTTTCAATGTCTGTTACCTTCTAACTCCCTGCATGGCTTAATCCAAGTCCGCTGTGATCAGCTGGAGTCTTGTTTTAATTTGATTTTACTGCTGAGTTGTGTTCCTGATTTTTGTGCAACCATCACCTAATTAACACCTTTTAGCCACACACCTGCAGTGGTTTGAGCTTCAGACCACTACCTGGAAACCAATAAACTCTCTACATTATGTTCTGAGTTTGGACATCTTAAGATACAATCACCAAAAAAGGACTTATAGAAGAAGAAAATGGAAGAAAAATCTATGCAATATATTGTGCATCCCAATTAGCATCAGACTTCTTGAGTATTGGAATTTTCCATTTATCTTGATAATACAAATTAGATCCTTATGGGGGAGGAAAAAAAAAAAAAGACCCTTAAATGAACTGGCACATGTACTATAGCGTTTTAAATACAAATGTATACAATTTGGTGGGAGGAAGCCATACTGTACAGATTGCTATTGCTGAAGCATGATCTCATGATTAAAGAATGGGCCTGAGAGTTGGGAACGTTGGTGAATACATAGCTCTGATACAGATTTTCTCTGTGACCCAGCACTAGTCCCTTGCATTCAAACTAAGGATAACATTTTCCCTTCTTTATTTAAAACTCCTAATTCCTTAATTATGTAAGAATAATTTCATCTTCATGATGGTGGTTTCACCTTCATGTTTTTGTGGTGATAGGTTGTAAGCAGTCCTCATAGAACACCAGTCCTCATAACCAGTGAGGGCTCTTTAGGAAACCAGAAGATTCATTAAAGTAATTCAAGGGCAAATATCCTATAGAAGAGCAAAGAGGGGTAGATTTTCACCCTTGTAATAGGTGGTTTGGTTAGGGAAGGGTGACAGAACTGCAATTTAACAGTAGTTTTATGTGATTTGTGAGATTGAAGAGTGATAATCAGTAGCTTTACAATTGTGTGTAAAAGAGTACAAAATGATATAATTATAACATAATGATAATAATGTCATTATTAGTCACTGAATTATTTGTTTTTAGCAGTTTGTTGCTTAATCAATAGACACTGCAGTCTCTTGAATCATTCATATGTCATGCCAGCAACCTAAAGGAGGAGACTTACCCATGAGGTAACTGACCAAGGAGCTCCAAGTTTGGGCGCTTGAGCTAGCTGACATTAAAATGTCTTAGTTAAGCAAAAGAAGGGTTGACCCATGTGGCCAAAAAACAATCTGGAATCTGGATCTATATACTCCCTTTTTATCTGAAAAGGCTAAATGGACATACACCTGGTCATAAGTGATCCTCCAGCTTTACTAAGTATGATAATATTTCTATGTGCCTGGTGTCTATCTGAGAGATGCCATTGTCTTGGGAAAAGCTGAATGTGTCTGAAGAGGAAAAGGAGAGCTGGATCCCTCCTGGATGCTCCAGGCTGTGGGAGCCTGTAACACAGTTGCTAGCAATGCTGCATGCCCCGTAGTGTCTCACTGTTGGATACAGAGCTGCACGTTGTTAACCAGGCAGCTGGGGCTGTGACCCCGCTGGTTAAGGCTAGTGCCAGATAGTTGAGGCTAAGTTTGTAAGTAGCAAGTAATCTTTGATAAGAAAACCTTCTAAGTTACTGAGAAGGCACAAGAAGGTTTGAAACAGAGTGGAAAAAAAATGAAGTGGTGTCAGCTCTTAAGAAGTTAAAGGTTGAGAGAATTGTGGGTTAAACGTGTGTATATGAAAGTGTGAGAGAGGGTAACGAATAGTGAAATATTATGATTAAATCAGAATAGAAGTACCATTGAAGGAAGCATTGTTAAGTATTACAGAATACTCATACCGAAGCTTAATCACTGTATTTTTTCTGAAAACTTAAACCTATAAATGCATCAAGGTATGAGGTGCATTAACATTTTTCCTCTAAAGGAAAATGAAGAGGGAAAGATGGTAAAAATTATGAATAAATGTGTCAACTGCCTATTCAAGCTAAAGTAAAAATCTTGCCTTTTTCTTGCAGAAGAAATATGAAACCAACAAGTTGCAAACCTGAATAGACCAAAAAAACACCCGCTACTGATCAGACTGCTATGGAAGAAGAAGTTCCAGGTGAGGTAGCAAAGAAAACTATTGTTAGCAAATCTTTTGTTATTTTTATCTTCCATACATAACACAGAAGAATCCTTTCCATGACTGTTATATTGATAACTATATGTTGCTAAGCTTTGCTTTTGTCTTTTTTATTTTTGGTTTTGTTTCTGCTTCACTAGAAGGGAGAATAAGAAATAAAAATGGATCTAAATGGAAGGTTTCTTCATCTTGAAAGAAAAAGAAACCCTCTTTCTCTAGGTGAGGATGAATGGGCCTCATTAGTGAAAATGATTAATAGGTCACTAATACCTGACCTGATTAATAGGTCACTAATGCCTGTGTGTGTTTGAACGGATGTAACATGATGTATTTACAAAATGTAGTATTTTGAGAGCTGTAAAGAACAAAAGCAACTAAGTAAGCACAGAAACGTTTAGCCACGCTAAGCTGTACTTCGACGGATTGTGCAACATGAAGTGCACCTTTACAACAGGTGAAACCGAGAGGACGTACCTTCATGTAGTGTGGTACCTGGGGATATGTGAGACCAGAGCAGAGCCTCATGTCTAAATTCACATTTGTCAGCACAGGAGGTGTTGTGCATTATATTATTTCATATTCACCACGCGTCCCTGGTATGATGTATTCCTGGAATAGTCCCCGAAGCCTGCTGCTGTGCTGCTGTGCTGCTCTTAGCACAGCAGACTGTAGCTGTGCTAGCAATGCTGCAGGCGGTGCTGCTCTTTACCCTTTTACGCACTCTTTATCTGATATGGCACAAAAAATACGCCTTCATGCCCAAATGGAGATGTTATAGACTCTCATATACATCCCAAAGGCTGTGATGAACGTTAGATGATTCTTACATAGCACATTTCTGAGAAGTCTGCAAGGTTTCAAGGTAGAGGCTGTGCATGAGTAGTTTCATGCATTTGTGAGTCTCTGAGAGGATGGCAGTGAGGAGGTCGCTGTGTTTTGTTTTGTTTTCCAGAGTACTCCCCAGTGTCCTGCTTTTCCATATCCAACCCATTTCCCCACAGATTTTTGGCAACAGTCAGTTCAGGTTCCAATTAAATGAGCACTTCTAAAACATGGAGATTGCAAAATTTGCTTCAATTCATGATAAATGTCACTGCTGTTAGATCTCTTTCTCAGTATCATTCTTTTCAAATACCTAAAATGACCACTAAGTCATCCACATACTGTACACATGCAATATATCTGCTTAAAATAATTGGGCAATTACACCTTCTTTCCATAACTGAGTTGAATAGTTTTTAAAAGTTTATTCTAGGATTTTTTTTTCAGGTGAGTCAAGAAAATGTCTCAACAGCTGATCTAGCTAAAAAGGAAGCTCTGTCCCCACCCCTGAGCTGCTCAGTCTTTTGAACTGATCTGAGGATCGTTTCTTGAGAAGCAGATCAACCATCTTAATACAGCTTTTAACACTTTCCAGAGCTTTACTGATTGACATTGCATGCAGGCATTAGCAATGAAAAGTAGAGCTTTAAGGTGCTTTCTGAGTGCTTACCCTCCCATTTTTGGTGTAGTGCTTTTCTTTATCCTGTTATGTGGATTGTGACTCCTGTCCTATTTTTCTGTTCCTGACACTTCCAATATATGTTACAGCTTGGATTTACTTATGATAATGTATTTTTGATTTTGTTTGCTCCATTTCAAAGTGATAATCCTCTCCCCATTGGTCCACAACCCTTTGTTGAAATCTTTAAATTTCGATTAAGTTAAAGAATTGAAAGAATGACCTGTGAAACTCCTGAGTGTTTTTTTTCTGGAATTGCAATTCCCGCCATTTTTCCCCAAGCGATGGTTGGTAATATTTGGAAATGCAAGCCAAACCAAGGATAACATTAATTTTGATCAAAGTTATTGCATACATTTCAGCAGATTTCTGCAACTTTTCTGCTTTTCTTGTTTGGAGGGGTGTAGTTGATGTTACTGAGATTCTGGCTTTTTCAATACATCTACTATCAGAATTTTGAGGGGGCATTAGAAAGTAATGTGTCATTTACATTGAGTTTTACAGGGATGAGGAGTTGCAAGTCAGAGTTTATATCCATGTCTGAGACAGCAATTGAAAATGTATCATAATTTATTTTTCAGGCAGAACATTATCAAAAGGCACGCTTTCCTTCTCAGATTCAGGGAACGTTTTCTATTCCACTAGTGTATAACCATA